TAGTCGTCGGTCGTCGGTGAGCAAAGAGCCTCTTGCTAAGAGTAATCTGCACACAGCCAGACGGGGCGGACAGATCCATTGAATGTACATTAATTTATTGGCGATTCGAGAAACACAGTAACTGCACGACCTTTTCGTTTGTTGGCTCAGGCTCAGGCATTCGACACAGGCTCTCGCTCTGCGGTTGCATAAAAGACTCTTGGTCAGAGCAATGCAAAAGCTCGAAATCCTATACACACGACAGAGATAGATCACAGCAGGACCTGACCAGCAGCTACATACACTGAATAGGCAATTTCAGTTACACATACTCTGATACACTTCAATATGCATCTCATATGTCAAAGGGTTGGAAAATCGGAAAGTGTTTTTTACCCTAAACTTTTTCAATTATTACGACTCTTGAACCTCTTCATTGGCACAAACACCTTCACAAAGAAGGTTTAATTGTTTTTCTGCACCATTTTCTTCACCGTGGGTACTTGTACTTTCACTAAACCTAATCGGTCATTGTCATCATGTTAACGTGACAATTGTTCTATGAATTCACCTAACAGACACTCTTTTACGTACTTTCTTTTATTAATTAAATCCATTTCATATTATCCCTGATAAACCCACTTTTTTAAAATAAAAATCAGAAATTATTACGTACGAATATTATAATAGAAAATGTTGTCGATGCAGGATCTCAAGCATTGGATCGATCCTGCATCAACGACAAGTCCTGAAAATGTCCCTTGTGATAGAAGACGTCGACTTTTGACGCAACCAAGATCTGTGACGATGATTTCATCAATAAGGTGCAGTTAGAATCGGGAAATCTAATTTACTCAGACAACAACTGTGAAAGCCTAAATCAACTTCTATAATGCTAATCATTTTTATTTTTTTACAAGACAGGAAGGCATATTAATGATAACCTCAGACTACATAGGTATATGATATCTGCAAATTGCAAGGTAATCCTGTCTAACTCAAGCTGGCATAAAGATTAACACTTCTCTAATTCAAATTAATTAAAATTTAATGTTTAGTTTTTGATCAGTCTATAATTAAAAATTACACAAGCAAAAAATGCGTTATAATTAAATTCTGCGAGCAATCCAATGGTAGATATTTTATTAGAAGTAATTAACCAATGTTTTAATTAAAGAAAAATTAATATTTAGAAAGTCAAATAAACATATTATATGAGTCGTGTTAATCTCGTTCATGACCATATCGCGTTGGAGTAAGTCGTGGCCAACTCTGCAGTGTTGCTACTTAACCTCGTTCCGAAGGGTTTTCTTTCTTGCACGAAATGACTTTAAACTGTTCAATAAATCTACGAATAAGCTTTTTCTTCGACAAACTTTGTTTTACGATCACTTCCAATGCAAATAAAAATAAATTTTACACCTTGCAGTGTCCACAGGAAATCGTAAATAATCTATAAAATGTCACCCCACTAACTTCATTGGCCAAAAATGTCGACAATGTATCCAAAATGTATCCTACGTGGAACACTACTGTTTTTTTTTTTTATATTTTACTTAATTGATTAAAAAAGGATAAGAGGTTATAGTATTTTCGTTGTCTACAAAAACTGAACGAAAAACCGATGCTGCAAGTCAGAGAAATGTTACAGAATGTTACATTAATTACGTAGTGTCTACATTAATATAAATATCGTACAACAAAAATTAATATATTAATACGTCGACATACTTGATTTTTTTTTATAATCGTCATGCCCTTGAGAACTTAATTAATTTTAGCATTTAAGAAACTTGCTCGTCCCTGTCTGGCACTTTGGTTAAGGTGTTGAAGAGATACCTACCCGAGATAAAAATGTTCAGTCTCTCAGGGTCTCTGGAAGCGAGACTAGAGTCACTGTCTTTCATCGAGAAAGACTGTCGAGAGATTGTCAAAAAACTGTTTAGCGTCTCTGTACGAGAAACTCGAGTCGCTCATAGAGAGATTCTCATTTCGAATCCAGTCTCTGCACGAGAGACTCGAATCTCTCAATAAGTGGTGTCTCGATAGACATGGTTAAAATTTTCTAAGTTCAACATACGTATTTCAGAGATCTCAGTCTTTCTACGAGAGACTCGAGTCTCTCAATTTTTCAGTTTTATTAAATCAGTCTCTCTTTGAGAGACTCGAATATATGAATTAAAAATGTTATCGTTCGAGTCTCTCATACAGAGTATGAGAGAGTATCCATAAAAACACCTGGGCAATAACTGAGAGACTGTGAGAGACGCTCCCAGAGACGCTGAAATACTGAAAGACTCTGAGAGACTGGAGAGAGATTTTTGTCTAGGGTATTTACGAATTAAAAAAACCGTTTTCGCCTTGCGGAAATCTGCTCTCATAAAGTTTAAAGTAAACATTTGGAAAAATAGCAACAGCAGTTGCCACCATGTTTTAAACGGACCCAATTAGTAAATATTGATAATGTCCTTAGAACTTGCTTCAATAATTTCAAAGGACATTTATTATTGTGGGTGACATATTTATTAATGTATCTCGCCAGAGGTCTGTTCAGAAGGAACGAACGTTGCATTTATCTACTAGTTTGGTGTGTATACATCATGTGCAGACGCATAATCTGATCGAATCGCGTAAATTAAAGCAGTTGCCCGAAGGATTTTCTATTTCCATTTGCATGCGTTCGAGCATGATGTTTACCGTTTCTACCAGATTTCATGTTTATCTAAAGACGCAGAATTGGAATTAAACGGCTGACAACTGGGACGCGCCAGCGCCAGCGTGCAAAATATTTACTCGGCAGCTGCGAACGTTTACACAGCGATTTGTGAAATGAAAAACCCTTTTCAGTAAACTGGCGAAAATCTTCACCCGGTTTCCGTCATGCTAACTCAATGTAAACAGCTTCCACTTTTTTTCTTTTAACTGGCGAAAAGAAAAGCGTTATAAAACGCAGACAATAAACATCTATAATACATATATATATTTACATTGAACGACATTATTTAATTTAGGAGATACACTTTATCTATTACCCGAAACGATAGGCCATAAAGGGCAGCAACTTTGATACGAGCAAAATTAAACAGAATTAATTTGTATACAAAGATATTTATTAGATAGTGTTAAAGTATTTTGTGCTATATTGTATAACTTCTGAGTACCAAAACGTATCACTGGTGGTGATAAACGGTAACAGTAGCACTCGGTTAAGGTCTAGATGATGGCCGCCACCTCGGAAGGGGGTTGAGGTGGGGGGATCGATAGAGGAGGTCTCACCCACCACTGCACCATAAAAAGTTCGTGGCGGTCTCACCCCCTTAAAAAGTTATGGGGGTTCAAATTTAATAAATATGCCAATTTTTATACATTTCTAGGCATGTAAATATTTATATAGTCATTCTTAAACAATATTCAAAGGTAAAACTAATGAAAAATACATAAAAATATTGAGAAAGTTATATAAAACATTATTTAAATATCTTTATCAATAGGGTAGGTTAGGTTAGGTTAGGTTATCGGGTTTTGTTCAAGTGACCACCCTCTTTCGATCCCCCACCTCCACCCGCTTGAAAATATTTTTTTTATTGGATTTTATTTGAATTATAGTGTATGAAAATTGTAAAAATAATCAACTTTCAACTCCCATAACTTTTTATGGAGGTAAGACCGCCGCAAATTTTTTATGGAGTTTTACTCAGGTGACCACCCTCTTTCGATTCCCCCTACCCCCACCCCCTTCGGGCCATTATCTAACCACCATAACTTTTTATGGGGGTGAGACCTGCACGAATTTTTCATGGTAGAGTTTCGATCCCATCCACCCCCATCCCCTTCGGGGGTGGGGGCCATCATCTAGACAATTACCTAGCACTCTTTTTTAGGTAACAATCTAGCACTTCTTTTGGTCAAGTTAACTACCAATAAAACTGCCAAGAGCACTCTACTTTTTATCTAACATTTACATTTTTTAGTAAACACCATAACACTTTTTTTGGTACTAGGTCAATTTCGATACTTTTAAGTGAATAGCCCATAGCCATTTCTGATATAGGAACAAATGAAATATTTTTTTGCAGATACTACATTGGGTTATTGTATGCGCCCTAACACTTTACTAATTTTTGATATCTATCTACTTATCTTTAGCATGTTTCTAATAAAATTCCTAGCACTTCTTTTAGAATCTGACCAATTTGAATTTAATTTTAAGATGTCTTACTCGAATTAATATAAAACAGCAATTTCTTATTATTGTAATGGACCAACTCGGAAATTAAAAATTGTTACAGGTTCACAAGTATGTTCAGAGAAACTTGAAAACTTTACACATATTGTTGTTAGTTGTAAGTTAATTTCCTTTAACGATATCCTTATCGTGGCCCATTATACGTATTCATTTTATGGACAATTTAGACTCGATAACAATGGTAGCAGTATAGTGGCAGACTCACTCAGTCGTTGTTTATTGAGTTTTAAGTTTCGAAAGCATAATCCCTATAACTGCGAAACTTTGTTCAATATTGCCTCAATTCTAAATTTGACCCCATCTTCGAACAATGGAATTGGCTGTGTGTGTGTCATTGTTGTGCATATGTAAAGTATTTTATGTCGACTATTGTTCTCTGCTACAACAATCTGTCAACGTTGAGCTCTGTCAAGAATATTGAAATACGTACAGGAAAGTATGAATGAATGACTGGAAGTTACCAGTTTGTTCATCGGTTGCCACCTTTGAGAGGCTGCTATTTACATATGTAAATTTGTTTATAAATAAACGCTGTACAATAACGCCACTGACAAACTAAATGGCATTGTGCTATATATGTATCTCATAAACGTTTATTAAATGTAAAAGGCAAGATTTTTATTGTTTAAAAATGTAAAACGGATTGTTTTTTTACAGGAACATTTTAAATAAATAAAATACCGGAAAAGAAATAAATGAATATAAATAGACGTTTCAAACGTAAAATTAACGATAATATCATGTAACCATGCAAAAAAAATACAAGTGTGCCTACCTGTAAATTATCGAAGACTATGAATTCCAGGATTTCTGGCTTATACTCGTCATGCTCTCTGTTGTAATGTTGAAGGATAATCTGAAATAAAAGAGTTTGATATTAAGTGACTACAGCCTGCTATCTGTGACTGGTATATCAGCCGGTACGGCCTAGAAAATGATATTTTCTCGAAAAGAAAAAAGAAGGAAAATTTCCGGCAGTATTTTAAAAAAGACGCGCTTTTCTCTGAATTTTCGTTTTTCATAACATTTTTTATAATTGGTCTGTCCTTGCGGACCACTGATTATGAGCATGGCGCTCTGTGCAAGCGTTTAAAATATGGTTTCATATTAGAAGACTGTTAAAAATGCCGTGAATAGAAAGAGTAGGAGAACTGACGAGGATATCCATAAGAAATAGGTTAGTACAACACCTTCTCAGACATGAGGGCAACTTTGAGACATATTGAAAGCAAAATTAGAGACTGCCAGGAACTTTTTATGGTACAGTGGTGGGGGAGACCTCCTCTTTCGATCCCATCTACCCCCCACTCCCTTCGGGGCCATCATCTAGACATTTACCAATGGACTAAAAAACATATTGTTTTCAAAAATTGCTTATTGATCCGTTTCAAACATCTAGATAATAATTTGCTCTTGCTTCAAATCTCGGACTATTCACCAATTTCACGCTCTTATTCAAAACATTGAATGTTTTTAAATACCATCTAATTGACAACGAATCGTTCGTAATCATAAAAAACTCCTGTCGATCTCCATTAGCAAAAGTTCACTAACCAAAGCCGAGCCGAAATTGATTTAAATTGTTATGCGGATGGCTTTGAGGATTAGATTCTTTTTCATTCCGAGAACAATGATATATTAATTTATGTTATTATATCGGGTTGACTGGTTTTAAGTACGTGAGTAGGTATCGTGCTTTCATCAATAATGAAGTCATCAATGTCAGTTAGTTAACGAGACCGATAAATCAAAACAAACAATAATGCAATATATCATATAATTAATTGAATCTATAAATCTGCGGCAGAAAACAGGCCGACCAGTCGTATTCCGCTCCCCTGCTAATGTGGTCGTAAGTACCTACTACTATAAGGACTAATAAACGTACACGCATGAACGCGCATTCTATTGAATTTATTGAATAATATTGAATTTTAAGTTGGTGGAAATGCAAGATTATTACGACTTGCAGGCAATTAACTTGAAGAAATACACCAACAATTAAGGCCTCGAAATACATACGTAACTTTAATAATAATGTCTGACAAATTTCCTTTAAACATAGGTGAAATTTTTTATTCAATTCCACAAAAATTGTGCCACAAATGCATAGCTAAATTTACATTAATTTTCATAATTTTTGGGATGAATATTTTATTAGATACCAAAAAATTGTGATGTGGCAGTTGTAGTGGATAACAAAAGATGCACTGGATAGTGATTTTGCCGGATACCGGATAACCGGATATCATCTCTTCGTTTTAGTGGGCTTTCTATTAAATACCACCCTCACCAACGTCCCAAGCCACATTAAGTCCCGATCAAAAAGTCGTTAAAATATTAAACCCATGAAATTTTAATTCTTAGTTGGCGGAATTTCAACGAGAAGGTTGAGTTGAAACCGTTGAAATGAGCTTATAGTGTTCATAAACACTAAGTCTGCAAGGTGACAAAATCATACTTAATCATACTAATAAGATATCGTTAATCAAAACCTGATATAGCAACAAGCGACAGAAATTGGAACAGTTCGGTCGTACTGATGTATTCTTATTCATGAGAAAAAGTAAACAAGAGAACTATATCCAAACAACAAATAATTTTGTATAGTGGGTAATCAATAAATAATACTAATCAGGTAAAATGACTTTTCTCAGTACAATCTTGTTTTTTCTTTTTTCTTCGACAGAACCACCCCGGATACCCGATCGGATCCAAAAAAATACAACGTACGAAATTATAGAACACGCTACTGAAGTAAAAATTCTTCAAACACACAAACATACCGGGATAAGAGTTAAGGAGTTGGTTTAATGGTATTATTTGTACATTATGAATTTAAATTTTACACTATACATGCCGGAGTTGTCTGTAACGAACGTTGCATTGAAGCGCTACCACGGCTCAAGCGATCCCCACTACGAGACATCCGTTGCATGATTTCGTTTCATAACAACTCTCATGAAACGAACTTACCCTACCATGCGTAAAGAAGTTTCACTTCAAAAATGTTCCGGATCCGCTGGGTACTGGATCCAAACCGGATACCTTGCTCATCTTTAGTATCTATTAATCTCCTCTAATTACAATAATTAGGGTGAACAAAAACGAAACTGAGCAAAATAATGAGCTAAGCAGTAGAAAAATGACCATCAAGATGAGATAACAAAAAAGAGTCATCTGGATTGATAATACTGATTACTGCAGCATTTTACTGGATAATCGTCTTACTCAAAATATATTTTATAATTTAGTTTAGATACTGTTAACTTATGTAGCAGTTTCCACAACTTTTATCGCATACATCTGGAGATACTGAGGGTCGGTAGAAATAGAAATTATTTTCGGTGACGTAGAAGCTGATAAATTTGGTAAAGACGTAAGTTCTCTACTCAATTAATTTATCTCATGGCGAGTCGACAAGAAGATACAAACTCGAGCTCATTCCGTTAAAACCGTATCACCACGTGTTAACGTGCCCTCCTCTCGAAACCCTCACCGGTTATCTCATAGTTACCCATCTCAACCGTACCGTGTCCGACTTGTATTTATGGGTGTAAAAAATATTTTGAAGCATACGGCTAAAAGCCACTGGCATGATCGATGTCCTGTCGTAGAAATGTGAAAACGGATCCTATTACGTACTATGGGTCCTCGTAACAGTCCTGTGTATTAGTAGGAGTGACATGATAGGTTACAGAGCTGCGCGATAGATAATAAAACCGGAATGTGCGGTTACAACAGGCCTCTGATAAATTCCTACTTGATAACTTAATATTAACAAAAACAGAACAGAAGAAACTTACTAGACTAAGAACAATAGTACCTGCTGTTAATTATTTATTATTGCTTGTTAAAATTAACGAAACAAGCTTGGCAACTAAATGATTAAAACCAAGAATATAATATTTTAGTTCATGGAAAGAAAAATTAGAATAACAGAGTGTCTCGTTTACACCAGAGCCGGGCAAACTTTAACTTCGCAGGAGCCGCTACATGAGTTTAGTTTGAGTCACTCCATACCCTTCAATGAGTACGAGAGAGTAAGCAGTAATGAATAATTTTGTTTTGTCTTTTTCTTCTCCCTTCCACTCCCATATCAAGCCCCTTCATCCCGTAGACGAGCGAAGCCACTCTCACAACTTAAATAATAATTTTCGTTACTACGTTCGCAAAACTATTGGATTTGGCTATGGAAGAGGGGACTCATCTACGAAATGGAAGGGATAAGAAAAGAAAAGAATCATTTCACTCGCACTCGCAGGATCAATGAGGATCCACTTGGTTAACTCTGGTTTACACCATCGCTCTGTATATGAGAATAACAAAACATTTAACTTCATTACAGAATTAGTTTTGATTGGTGGAAGATAGAATTGTAATTCTTTTATTAAATTCTAGTAATAAACAAATGACATCGTTAGCTTTTTAATTGTATGTAAAGCTAATCTACGAATGGTAATGATGAATATTTTTTTATTGGATAAGATAGAATTCTCATCATTTTGCGTCAGTGAATCTGCGAGCTTAGAAAACGTATTACGAGGGCAGTTTCAGAATTAATAGGCCTGACAAACAAAACACAAAAAATTTAGCTGAAACTTTATTTATTATTAGCTCGATACACTTCGGCCAACGATGTTCAATAGCTTCAATACCTTGTTTATAGTACGAAACGTCGAGCTCCTTAAAATAGTAACCTACTGCAGACACCACCTCCTTATCGTTGGTAAATCTTTTACCACCAAGCTATTTCTTCAAGTTAGGAAAGAGAAAACAGTCCAAAGGGGATAAATCTGGCGAATACTACGTTGCATGATGAAATAATTCGTTCTTTAAATTATTAATTTTGGCGACTGCAATAAGGGATGGGTGAACAAACGTATTGTCGTGGTAGAATAACCAAATGCGGTCTTTTTTCGCTGTTGATGGTTTTTCCTTTTTGAAGGTAATCAATGAAAATTATACCATAGGCAACACAACAAAACTGAAGCCAATGTCATAATCTTGCCTCCAGATGGAACTATTTTTACCTTCTTTGAAGACAATTCTGTCCTTTCATTGTCTTGACTGTTTCTACGTCTCAGGCTTGCAGTGAGGCAAAAAAAAGTAGGCTTTATTGCGGCGAAACATGGTCAAACACTCGATTGAAACATCCTCACGATGCTGTTTTTGTTTGATTGTGAACAAACGCGGTACCCCTCTTGCATACTGCTTTTTCATGTCAAAATGCTCAGTCAATATGCTATGTACGCCACTTTTTGAAATGCTATTTCTGATAACTTGTGCACTTTTAGTCGACGGTTAGTGTTTTTTTTCACCATTTCTAGAATAGTTACCTGATTTGGTCGACCACCGCGACGTTCGTCTTCACAGTTTGTACTTACTGTTGAAACGTCCCCACAGTAGAATATATCTCGACTTTGATGCACGAGAATTGGTTGCACTAACGATGACCAATTTTTTCCATGTTTACAAATTCACTGACAGCGTTCATTATTGATGGCAGTCAAACAAGTAAAAACCAATGTAGCGTCGTCAAACTTAAAGTTACTAATGTTGGTACTATCTACCACAGGACGATTAATTCTGGAATTGCCCTCGTATGGTCTATATCTCAAGGCTTTCGTTAGTGTAATGATCCACAATGCCCCAGTTTTACTCCGGCTTATCACAACATTTCATGGAACTCTTCATATGAAGAAAACAATGAACAATTAATTATAAAAATGTTTCTACCAGATGGCACGATTTACAATTTTTCTAGGGAACGAATGTTTGTAATAAAATGTATTGTACTCCGATTTTTACATTACTTTTTAATATAAAAATAATAACCTCAGAGATAGTACGATGACCTCTCGTTCTCGCTTTCACATAAACGTTATCG